GAACAGGGGTCTCAGCACTGGGGCGGGACCCCCTCTGGGAGGAGGCGGTCAGGGAGGGCGGAGGGGCTGCTTGGAGGTGGAGGAGGGGTGGCCCGGAGGAGGGGTGGCCCAGAGGAGGGGTGGCCTGGAGGAGGGGTGGCCTGGAGGAGGGGTGGCCGGGAGGAGGGGTGGCCCGGAGGAGGGGTGGCCCGGAGGAGGGGTGGCTGGGAGGAGGGGTGGCTGGGAGGAGGGGTGGCCTGGAGGAGGGGTGGCTGGGAGGAGGGGTGGCTGGGAGGAGCAGGGTGGCTGGGAGGAGGGGTGGCCTGGAGGAGCAGGGTGGCTGGGAGGAGGGGTGGCTGGGAGGAGGGTGGCCGGGAGGAGGGTGGCCTGGAGGAGCAGGGTGGCCGGGAGGAGGGGTGGCTGGGAGGAGGAGGGTGGCCTGGAGGAGCAGGGTGGCCGGGAGGAGGGGTGGCTGGGAGGAGGAGGGTGGCCTGGAGGAGGGGTGGCCCAGAGGAGGAGGGTGGCCTGGAGGAGGGGTGGCCCAGAGGAGGAGGGTGGCCTGGAGGAGGGGTGGCCCAGAGGAGGAGGGTGGCCCGGAGGAGGGTGGCCGGGAGGAGGGGTGGCCTGGAGGAGGAGGGTGGCCGGGAGGAGGGGTGGCCTGGAGGAGGGGTGGCCCAGAGGAGGAGGGTGGCCTGGAGGAGGGTGGCTGGGAGGAGGGGTGGCTGGGAGGAGGGGTGGCTGGGAGGAGGAGGGTGGCCGGGCGAGGCAGTGAGGAGGCCACCAGACAGGGCACGGCCAGAGAGGCCAGACGCAGGGCCACCCCGCCCCTCGCTGCCGGCCTGACTTCCAAACTCGGGATTAGCCCTGAGTGGGGCCATCGATCCGCCCGGGCGCTGATTCCGCTGTCGATAGCCCGCCCGCCCGCTCCATCCTCCGCCTCGTTAGGGCTAATTGCCCTGACATTTCGGGCTGGCAGGCACCGCGCTTCTGTCGCATGTCAGGGCGCCTCGGCCCTCCCAGCTCGGGCGGGGGCATCCTTAGACTGCGGGAAAAGACAGCCCAGACAGGGCCGCTGCCTGCTGCCCGGGGTGGCGGGAGGGGAGGGACGCGGCTGTCACTGTTCCCCGCCTCCTCGGGACAACGGGGGCCCAGGGACGGCCCAGGGCAGCGTGACATCCCAAGTGGCCCCCAAATCCTCGGGGAGGGCCCCAGCAGGTGTGTGTCGGCCCGCGCCGCCTGGGTTCCAAGGGGACTGCTCAGAGAGCCACGGGTGGGCCTGGTGCAGCTGGTGGCGTGTGTGCGTATGTGTGGCGTGTGCATGTGTGTGCCGTGTGCATGGGGCGGGTGCGTGCGTGTGCCCGGGCGCTTGCAAGAGGACATACATGCCGACCGACCGAGACCGTCCTGCTAACACGATGGGAGCTGACCTCTGCCCCGGGTTTCTGGGGAGCAGGTCCCCAGGCTGCTCTCCACGGTCACGCCAGTTTCCACCGCGAAGCCCAGAGCGAGGGGTCCTCGCTGGGGTCGGGGCACCTGCGTGGGTGGGAGGAGGGGGCCACACGAGGGCAGGGGCCACACGAGGGCAGGGGCCACGGCCATCGGGGGTCCTGCTGTTTGCTGCCAGGGCTCAGCGGGGAGGGTAGGGGTCCCCCGAGCCCTGAGCCCACCACAGTCAGGGCCCTGCAGGGGTGCAGGATGGAACCCCTCGGGGCCTGGGTTTGGGGAGCGGCAGAGAGCGGGCACCTGTGCCAGGGCATGGCAGGCTGTCATTATGGGCCATTAAGCCGGGGTGCTGGAGAGGATGTGGGGGGGGCCGGGAGGGAGCCGGTGCAGCGCCCTGATTTCCTCGGCGGCTGCATGTGTAAGTTCTCCCAGAGACGGTGAGAGGAGGGGCCCTGCGGGGGTGCAGGCAGGGGGACCAGAGAGTCCCTGCAGGAAGGTGGGGCTGGCTGAACCCCCTACCTGACCCCACAGCAAGTGGGGGGACAGCGAGGGCCGGCAGCGTCCCCACCGCCCTCCCCGAGAGGGCCCTGTCTCGGGTCTTATCGCCTTTGCCCCCGCCCTCCTCCTAAGCCACCCCCACGCTCCCCCAGGGCTCAGCCCAGCCCTGCCCTTCCCTCCGGGGTCCCTGCCTCCCGAGACCCCTCCCCTCGGCCCCGGGTCTGGGTGCCCCCCTGGGGTACACCGCTGGGTCTTTGAAAGACCAACAACGTCTTGCAAGTTGGGAAACTGGGCTGGGACTCAAGTGACCCAGAGGAGCCTCGGGCTGGAGCCTCAGTCCTGCACCCGCAGAAGGGCCCACGAGCGCCCCCCACTGCAGGGCAGCCCCCGAGGACCCGGGCCCTGGGCGCTGCAGAGGCCAGGGGTCGGCCCTGTGTCCTTCCCAGCCTGTGCCCAGTGTGGAGGAGGCTCTCGTCCGAGGGTGAGCAGGGCTGACTGCCGTGGGGGTCTCTGGAGAGGGATGGGGTGGGGAGGTGGCCCAGGCCCGGGCAGCCTGCAGTCCGGGCTGGGGAGGACCCACTGGGCCAGGAGGGAGGATGCCGGCCTGGGCTGGACTTCGGGGGTCCCAAGGGGTCCCCTCACCACCTGGGGTGGGGCAGGGGGCACAGCATGGCCAGGGCTCCAGTCGGGGGCCTCAGACCCAGGCCCAGCACAGCCCCCCGGCCCGAGGAGCGGGTGTGGGGAAGCCCCCAGGCTACAGCGCCTCGCAGGGGCGTGGGGTGGAGCAGGGCAGGTGCAGGGCTGGGGGCTGCGCTCGCTCCGCGGGGGTCCGGGGGGTCCAGAGGCGGCCATGGCCTCAGCGCCCGGGGAGGAGTCTAGAAAGCCGAGCTCCCCGTGCGGCTTCCACGCGAGTGCAGCCGACCCGGGCAGGAAAGCGAATTAAAAGACAATATTTGTGCCGGTGGACGGCATTTGCAGAAAGGTTAAATCCACATCGGGCGGTGCGGGCCGCCGCCCCCTGCCTGGCATCTGTCAGGCGTGTCACCCCCGGCCTGCGCCACCTGAGCACGCGGGCCTGTGGGGTGGGGCGGGCGGGGCGGGGCTGACGGCCCCCCGGCAGCCGGCCCGTGGGGGCGGGGGCGGGGCACCGGGCCCGGGCTCAGCTGCGGCAGGGGCTTCTGGGCGCAGTGCGAGGACACGGAGTCCGAGCCAGGCCTGCACGTGGGGTCCCCGGGGCTGGTCCCCCCAAGGCCACGCCCCGGGCCCACTCAGCCAGGCCACACGCCCGGGGCCCTGCTCCTGAGGGCCACAGAGCCCACAAGGTGAGGCAGGGCCTGCGGCGGGCACTGGGAGGCTGTCCTGGCCAAGCCTGGGGGGAGTCCCCGCTCCCACCCTCGGGAGATGCCAGGGAAGCAGATGACAGAGCAGAGCAGAGCAGGGCGCCCCAATACCACGGCGAGAAGGAGCAGGCGTTGCGAAGCGAATGGTGACTGAGCGCTGGGTTCTGCGGGATGCATAGGAGCTCACCAGGATGAGAGGGTGGGCGAGGAATGAGGCTTCAAACTGGAGTCCAGTCCTGGAGCAGGAGTGGGAGTACAGGGGGGTGGGCCGTGGAGGGGCAGGTCTGGGTCTTTCTTTGCTCTGACTGAGCACTTAGGCTGCTTCCAGAGAGCAGCGGGGAGCCACTGAGGGTTGTGGAGCAAGGGAATGACTTGCGGCTGGTCCCGGGGCCCTGCTGGAGGGAGTGGGGGAGGCGGGTCCAGCAGCTCTCCGGAGCAGACAGGCCGGTCCCTGGAGCCCGGGAGACGCCCAGGGGGTGGTCTGAGGTCACACGGTGGCCAGCCGGGGGGGGACCTTGTTGGAGGAGAGGGGACAGTCCAGGACTTCTGGCTCTGCCAGGTCCAGCGTGTCCCTGGGGCTCCCGTCACCAGCAGGCCCAACTCCGGGGCTGCCCCGACTCCAGGCGGGGACAGCGGGTGGCAGGCGGTGGCGGCGAGTCCTCCCTCCCCTCACGCCACCGCCCTCACGGCGGGCTCCGGCCTGGGCTGTCCCTGCTGGCCCCGCACGCCCCGGGGACGAGGGGTGCCTTGTCCCTCCCCCGAGGGGCCCAGAAGCCCCCATGCCGCCCGCACGCCTCTGCCCAGAGCCGTCGCCAGCAAGAGGGGAGCTGGGCTGGACAGAGACGGGGTGGGGCTCACACGGCTGCTGGGGGTCCCCTCCCGAGCCTCACTGGTCTCCAGGGGGGTGGACCCCAGAGTGAAGCCCTGGCCCCCCGGCCGGAAGGCAGACACGGCAGAGACGTCCCGTCCGGGGTGGGGCCGCAGGGAGCAGGAGGCACCTGTGCTGGGGCTGAGCCAGGGCAGGGGTGGGGGCGGAGGGACAGGGGTGGGGGCGCACGGGCAGATGCAGACCTCGGGAGACGCTCTCACTGGGGGTGTCCTGGAGGGAGTCCCCAGGGCACCACGGGAGAACCGGTCACCCCAGAGCACCATCCTCCAGGGCCCAGCTAGAGAGGAGAGTACGGAGGTGTAGGGGGACCCAGATCTCGCCGGGCGGGTGGGAGCCCCCCGGGTGCCCTGGAGGGGCCATAACCGGGCCCCTCCTGAGAGACCACCCCTTCCTCGGGCCTCCGGGGCCCTCCACCCTAGAGGGATGAGCCCTTCTGGAACATTCCAGGTCCCACTGGTCACGCCGGGGATCTGGAGCAAGGGCTGCAGGCGCAGGGGCTGGCTCATTAAACCTGCACCGTGGGGTGCCCAGGCAGCCCCCACCCTGCCTGCGCTCAAGGGGCTGAGCCACCCCCCGTTTTCCCGGCGCCTGCAGTGCGCCAGCCCCGTCCCCACCGAGCCGGGGGAGGGTGATTCAGAGGGACAGTACCGGTGACAGTGGCTGCAATTAGATTTAATGGGACGAGCCCTTTCTCCCATGCTCTTCGCCCGCCCCCGCCCCCCTCCGGCGCAGCAGCAGGGAGGGACAGGAGGGACGGGAGGAGGTGGAGGTGGGGGACCCGGGGGGCTTTGACGTCAGCCCAGCCTATAAGAGGCCACCGGGCCGAGGGCCGTGCAGAGGAGCCGGGACCTCCACGCGGCACCATGCCCACCCCCAGCGCCTCCACGCCGCAGGCCAAGGGCTTCCGAAGGGCCGTCTCTGAGCTGGACGCCAAGCAGGCGGAGGCCATCATGGTAAGAGGGCGCTGGGCGCCCGCGGCCTCTCCCCCACCCCACGGGCTGGCAGGGTCCGGGCGTGGAGTCCTGGGCGGGTGGGCAGCCCTGTGTCTGGGTGTTTGTGTGCTGAGGACTGAGTGTGGGGGTCGGCACCCCTCTTGTGCCAGCCCTCTTGGGGGGTTGGGTCTCCGGGTGTCCTGCTCGCTTTGGAACCGTATGGACGGGAGTCCGGAGAGCAAGCAGCCCGGGGGGCTGGGAGGGAGCCCCGGGGAGCAACAGTGTCCTGGGTGGGCCCCTCCGCCCGCCGGCCCCACCTGTCTGCTCCCCGCCCCAGCTGCCCGGCGAGGGGAGGGGCCCCGATGGCTGCACAGGGTGGGGTCCTGGGCACATGGGGGCAAAGGCCCCCGGTGCGCAGGCTCCGGGCGATTCCCACCCACTCCCTCCTTCCTTCCCCCTTCACTTCGTCGCCTGCGGGCCACCGAGCCAGCCCCCTGCCAGCCTGGACGCTCGGACGTCTCCCCCACCACGGGGGTCCTCGGCCCAGACTCCCGGGTCAGCTGCGCTCGGGCTTTGCTCATGGCGCGCAGCACGATGGCGTGAGCTACGGAGACGTCATTCTAGGGCGGGACGACACCCTCGTCCCCCCAGCCATCGCCCCACACACACATCCCCTCCCCAAGTGGGGCCCGGGGCGCCCGCCTCCCCAGCTCTCCCGGGCCTGGGTCTGCAGCCTTGGCTGTGTCCACACCGCCCACCCCACGGGTGACCGGGGCGCCGGGGTGTCTGCCACACCCCTTCCGTGTCCCAAGACCCGGAGCCCATGGACAGCGGAGCCCGGTCTCTCTTGCCAAGAGGCCCAGGACGTTCTCAGAAGTTCTGCTTCAAGCCCCAAGCCCCAAACACCCGCCAGGCGCTGCCTCAGTCCAGTGGACGACATGGGCGGGGCCTGGGTGTCGGGGTGTCAGATGTGCGGACCCTGGGCGTGGGGGAGGGGCACAGGGAGGGCTGGGGGTGCAGGGCCCTCTGTTTGGTGGGGGAGGGCGAGGCACCGAGCAGGGAGCCCCCCGTGTCCAGATGGGGGGATGAGGACGGCCCCGGCCGAGGAAGGGCCAGGAGGTTGTCCGGTGGGCCCGGGGGAAGGGGGGCAGCTCCTGCCTGAGCTGTTTGCCCCTGCCCCCACCCGGCAGTAGATGTCTGTCCATCTCTGTCCACCTCAGTACATCTCTGACCATCTCTGTCCACCTCAGTCCATCTCTGTCCATCTCTGACCATCTCTGTCCACCTTAGTCCATCTCTGTCCATCTCGGTCCATCTCTGACTATCTCTGTCCACCTTGGTCCACCTCGGTCCATCTCTGTCCACCTCGGTCCATCTCTGACTATCTCTGCCCACCTCGGTTCATCTCTGACCATCTCTGCCCACCTCGGTCCATCTCTGTCCACCTCGGTCCATCTCTGACTTTCTCTGTCCACCTCGGTCCATCTCTGTCCACTTCGGTCCATCTCTGTCCACCTCGGTCCATCTCTGACTATCTCTGTCCATCTCGGTCCATCTCTGTCCACCTCGGTCCATCTCTGACTATCTCTGTCCATCTCGGTCCATCTCTGTCCACCTCGGTCCATCTCTATCTTGGTCCACCTCGGTCCATCTCTGACTATCTCTGTCCATCTCAGTCCATCTCTGTCCACCTCGGTCCATCTCTGACTTTCTCTGTCCACCTCGGTCCATCTCTGTCCACCTCGGTCCATCTCTGACTTTCTCTGTCCACCTCGGTCCATCTCTGTCCACCTCAGTCCATCTCTATCTCGGTCCACCTCTGTCCATCTCTGTCTACCTCTGTCCATCTCAGTCCACCTTGGAGGCTGGGGCTGGACAGGCAGGTCTCTGGTCACCCTCTCTCTGTCCTAATCCAGTCAGGGCCAGGCCTGGGGACAGGTGACACAGCGTCCCTGTGCTGAGGGAGGCGGGAGGGCAGCCTCCCCCTCCCGCCCCCTTCCCACCCCCAGCACTCGGCTTCCAGCATCTTCCGTCAGGATGGACTGGGGGCCGTGCCGGCAGGCGGAGGCACACAGTAGACGCTCAGGGACGTGCTCTGAGCTGCCGCTGTGCCCTCCTCCCCTGCCTGCCGCGTGCCACCAGAGCGGCCTCCGTGGGAACGAGGGGTGCGTGGGTCTCAGTGGCCGTGCCTGTCCCCACAGTCCCCAAGGTTTGTCGGGCGGCGGCAGAGCCTCATCGAGGATGCCCGCAAGGAGAGGGAGGCGGCCGCAGTGGCAGCAGCGGCCGCGGCAGCGGAGCCCGGGGACCCCCTGGAGGCCGTGGTGTTCGAGGAGAAGGCGGGGAGGGCCGTGCTGAACCTGCTCTTCTCACTGGGGGGCACCAAGCCCCCGGCGCTGTCCCAGGCCCTGAAGGTGTTTGAGGTGAGGCCACACGCGGTGGGTGCACACGCATGTGCCTCTGTGGGTGCGCATGTGGGGACCATGCAAGGTGGGGCTGTCTGGGAGGCGAGTCCCTGTCCCTTCTACAGCAGAAGTGTGGCTGCCTGGGCCACCGCGGGCAGCGGGAAGAGGTCTCGGGAGCCCCCGTGGCCCTGGTGCACCCCGGGTTCTTGGGGGACCCCTGAGCATAAGCCTTGCAGCTGAAGCCACCAAGCCCCACCGCACCACCCACCTCCCCACCACCAACTCCCCACCACCCATCTCCCCACCACCCAACTCCCACCACCCGAACTCCCACCACCCTCTCCCCACCACCAGCTCTCCACACACCCAATCCCCACCACCCATCCCCCACCACCATCTCCCCACCACCCGACCATCCCACCACCCATCCCCACACAACTCCTCCACCACCATCTTCTCCACCACCATACTCCCACCACCACACCACCCATCTCCCCACCACCCATCTCCCCACCACCCACATCCCCACCACCACCCAGCAGGGCATCCCAGGAATGGCCCTGACCCCCACCTGCCCACCACCCACCAGCCAGCCGCTACTGTTGCGGCCAATTGTGTCAGCTGCTCCCGCCACGCTCCGGGAAGAGACTCCCAAATGACATTAGAGCCAGACTCCGCGAGAGGTCCCAGGGCCAGCTCAGTGGCCTTGGGGCATTGCAACCGATGACCCTGGTTGCCGGGTGACGGGAGGCGGCAGTGAAGCGGGCCCTTTCTGCAGGCCCTGGGTGCTCAGGGCTCCCTCTGCGGGGCTGGAGCCTCAAGTCCAGGACAGGGCGGGACCCGGGGCCCTTGCACAGGACCTGGGAGTGGCCGCCAGGCCCAGGTGAGGCCACCAGGGGCAGGGGGCACCTCTGACCAGCGGCTGGAGTCCGACCGTGGGCACAGCTGCAGGACACAGACAGCACGTGAAGGGCCAGGGAGGGACAGTTCCGGGTTAGACGAATCGGACAAAAGCTCTGTCCTGGCAGTGGCGTCCGACCCCGCCCTGGAGGGTCCGTGTGCCTCTGTGTGCCGCAGGGCGGGGCCCTCCTTGCCACCCCTGCCCCGTCTCTCTCTGTCCTCCTCTCCCTCTCCCTGCGTTCGCCCCTGCAGACGTTTGAAGCCAAAATCCACCACCTGGAGACCCGGCCCCCGCAGCGGCCGCGGGCGGGGGGCGCGCAGCTGGAGTACCTCGTGCGCTGCGAGCTGCCCCGCCGGGACCTGCCCGCGCTGCTCGGCTCCCTGCGCCGCGTGTCCGAGGACGTGCGCAGCGCCAGGGAGGACAAGGGTGAGGCCGGCGTTCCCTCCTCCAGGGCGGCCGAGTGGCTTGAGATGCTGGGGTGCGCAGGGTCCCGCGCCACCCCCGGGACCCAGCCCCGTCCCAGCCCCGGCTGCCCCTGCCTGGCCGGAGTCCCCGGGGGCCGCTTGTGGGTGACGCCGCCCCGCACTCACTGGGGACCTCTTCCCTCTGTCCTCGGTGAAGTCCCCTGGTTCCCAAGGAAGGCGTCAGAGCTGGACCAGTGTCACCACCTGGTCACCAAGTTTGACCCGGACCTGGACTTGGACCACCCGGTGAGCCTCTGTTCCCCCCAGGCCTGCGCCCTCAGCTGCAGCCCGGCCGGCCGGAGGTCTGTCTGCCGCGGGACCCCATGGCCCGGTCCCCCCGACGTCACAGCCGTGTCCCGTGTTCCCTCTGTCCCCAGGGCTTCTCCGACCAGGCGTACCGCCAGCGCAGGAAGTTCATCGCTGACATCGCCTTCCAGTACCGGCAGTAAGGCCGCCCCCGGGGCCAAGCACTGTCCCGCGACTTGCACCAGGCTTAGGAGTGCGATGTCACCAGAATTGTCACCTCCCTGTCACCACGGCCACTGCGGGCTTCCTGCCGGGCAGCTCTGCTCCGGGTTCTGCACCTGCGGACACGGCAGACCCCTCTAGTGCTCTGGGGAGGGTCTCCCCAAATCCCAGCTGAGGAAACTGAGGCACAGAGAGGTTGAGCAACCGCCGGCTCAGGGCACAGCCGGACCCCCACCCCACCCTCCCCCGGCAGTGAGCCGAGTGCGGCCTCCTGTCTGCGCCCCCCTCCCCGAGGCCGCGCTGCACACGGCTGGCATGGGTCCCTCCCTCCTGCCCTTCCACTCCCTCCCGGGAGGGGGGACCTGCTGACCGCCACCCCCTCCACAGTGGCAGCCCGATCCCCTGTGTGGAGTACACCGCGGAGGAGACTGCCACCTGGTGAGACCCCGCCCAGTGACACCCTAGACAGTGCCCACAACCCCCCTGTGCAAGGGCCGCCTCCCAGAACAGGGGCGCAGCAGGAGAGACCGAGGCCAGCAGGAGGAGGGACTTCCCCAGGCCCAGAACGTTGTGTGGGGAGCACGAGGGTGCCCGGCCCGCCCTGAGTCACGTCATCCCCGGGAGCTCGGGGACGGCCCCACGGCCCCCCGGCCCCTGGAGTCCCCAAAGCCACCAGCACAAGCCCCTCCCGTGGCCAGGGTCTCCGGGGTGCATGGGGGGGAGAAGGGGGTGTCCGTGCGGGTGGGGCAGGCAGCACCCGCGGGGGGGGGGTGGCGTGGGACCCGGCGCTGGGGCCCCGGCGGGCGCTGACGGCTGGCCCGCAGGAAGGAGGTGTACACCACGCTGAGGGGGCTGTACGCCACACACGCCTGCCGCGAGTACCTGCAGGCCTTCCAGCTGCTGGAGCGCTGCAGCGGGTACCGCGAGGACAGCATCCCCCAGCTGGAGGACGTGTCCCGCTTCCTCAAGGGTGCGGCGGCGCTGCCCGGGAGTCCCGGGGTGGGGGCGGGCTGGGGGCCCTCACCGCGAGCCCCGAGCCGGCCCGGGCGCCGGCCTGACCCCCGCGGCCCCTGCAGAGCGGACGGGCTTCCAGCTGCGGCCCGTGGCCGGCCTGCTGTCCGCGCGGGACTTCCTGTCCAGCCTGGCGTTCCGCGTGTTCCAGTGCACCCAGTACATCCGCCACCCGTCCTCGCCCATGCACTCCCCCGAGCCGTGAGTGCCCTGCGGGGGGCCTGCCGCCGGGACGCCCCTTTGCGGAGAGGTCGCGGAGGCAGGGAGGGGCCCGGGCAGTGGTCCCCGAGGGAGGAAGGGTGGAGGCAGGGAGGGTGCAGGGCAGGACCCCGCTGACCCCCAGCCCGCCTCCCTTTTCCCCACGCCGCCCGCCCGCCCGCCCGCCCACCGCAGGGACTGCTGCCACGAGCTGCTGGGGCACGTGCCCATGCTGGCCGACCGCACCTTCGCCCAGTTCTCCCAGGTGCGCCGTGGCTGGGGCTGGGGGTCACTGGGGGCACAGGTGGGGGCTGGGGCTGCCTCCTCCCTGCCCCGCCACGGGGACTCGGTGCCCCCAGGGCGGACGGTGCCCTCGTGGGTCTGGAAGGCTCCCAGGCCAAGCGCCCTGCAGCAAGCAGACCAGACGGGTGGGGGACACTCTAGTGCATGGGACAGGCCGGTCCCCAGAGAGCCCAGGCCCTGCAGAGGATCCCACGGCCTGTGCTGCCACCTGCCGGCTCCTCGGAGCAGCGGGTCGTGGGCACTGGGTGGCCAGGGAAGGTCTCAGCATCCCGGCAGTGTCGGGGTGACACCCGGGCTGTGTCCCTGCTTCCTCCCCTCCGCCCCCCACAGGACATCGGCCTCGCCTCCCTGGGGGCCTCGGACGAGGAGATTGAGAAGCTGTCCACGGTGGGTTCCCCTGGGGCTGGGGGCTCCCAGATTCAGGCCACGCCCTCCCGTCAGTGCCTGATTCTGTCCGGGGAGTGTGGCCCTCCCCTGTCCAGCCCACCAGCCTGTGCAGGGGGGCCCAGCCACCGTCCCCGGGGGCTGCAGGTGGCAGCTGTCTCTGGCCCAACGCTGCCTGGCCGTCCCCGACAGCTGTACTGGTTCACGGTGGAGTTTGGCCTCTGCAAACAGAACGGGGAGCTGAAGGCCTACGGCGCGGGGCTGCTGTCCTCCTACGGCGAGCTCCTGGTGAGCACCCCTGCGGAGCCAGGCCCCCGGGACTCAGGCCCCCCTCGGGGAGAGCTGGTCTCCGCCCGGTCCCCAGCCCACCCCGTCCCCTGGCCTCGGGAGGCCCGGGGGGAGGGGGGAGGAAGATGCCAATCCATGCCCAGAGCCCACCTTGGAGTCAGGCCGAAGCACTCGGTCCCCTCGGGGCGTTGGGGTGCCCGGTGACCCCGTGGCCTCCCGCCAGCACTGCCTGTCCGAGGAGCCCGAGATCCGGGCCTTCGACCCCGAGGCCGCGGCCGTGCAGCCCTACCAGGACCAGGCCTACCAGTCGGTCTACTTCGTGTCCGAGAGCTTCAGCGATGCCAAGGACAAGCTCAGGTAGGTGGGGCTCCCGCCGCACCCCGCTCTGGGAAGCCGGGCCTTCGTCCCAGCCCCCCACGGGGCCTGTGAACCTGCGTCACGGGAGGGCACTGAGCCTTCATTGTGACACCCCCGCGGCGGGCGCACCCTCCCCGAGGACACCAGGCAGCTGGGGAGGGGCACGGGGGCTGGGGTGAGGGTGCGGGGGCCGGGCGGGTTCCCAGGGCTGGGGGCTGGGGTGCCACAACCCAGGTGTCCCGGAGAGGGGAGCAGAGCCTGACAGGTGCGTCCTCCTGAAAGGACTTACCACGTCCCTCCAGCCCCAGGTTGTGCAATGGGGAAACTGAGGCCAGGGGCTGTGCCCAGCGTGGAGAGGAGGGGAGGGCTCTCCAGGGCACATGCCCCAGGAGGGCTTCCTGGAGTAGGCGCCCAGCCGGGCTCCCCTGGCAAAGCCGCCCGGCCCTGGAGGAGGCCCCAGCGCCCAGGTGCCGGCCGCGCTCTGTGTCCTCCGGCCGCCTGGGTGGCTGAGGGCGCCCCGTCCCCCCCAGGAGCTACGCCTCGCGGATCCAGCGCCCCTTCTCCGTGAAGTTCGACCCCTACACGCAGGCGGTGGACGTGCTGGACAGCCCCCGCGCCGTGCAGCGCTCCCTGGAGGGGGTCCAGGACGAGCTGCACACCCTCGCCCACGCGCTCAGCGCCCTCAGCTAGGCACCCCTGCGGCCCGCCCCGGCGTCTCCCGGCCCCAAACTCCTCCCGCCCCTGGGCGTCCCAGAGTCCCGCCGCGTTAGGGGCTGGGTCCTGGGCACCCTGGGGCCTGCCAGGCAACGGGGGCCCCCACCCCCTCCCCGACGCCCGCCGCTTCTCAGCACGTCAGCTGGTGTGTGCGCCTGCCGTCCCTGTCCTGCTGCTGTGGCCCCCGCTGCCGTCACCCCACCCCGACGCCGTCCGCACCCCATCACCCTCTCAATAAAGAAGGAACAGTCTCTGTGCGCCTGTCTGGTCCCGAGTCTGCGCCCCAGCCCGGCTCAGGGGCCCCCTTCCCCCTCCTCCTCCCTAGGACGTGGCCCCCCACCTCCCCCAGGGAGCAGGGGCACAGCCGTGATCACCAGGGGGGTCCCCGTGCCCGGGGTCCCAGCCTCAGAGCAGGCAGAGGAGTGGGGGGTTCAAGCCGCTCTGATTCCCCCACCCACCCAGGGCAGGACCTGGGCCTCTGTGGGCTCCCCAGAACGTGAGCAGAGGGGAGGAGTCCGGCCGAGCGGGTTCCCAGGAGAACCCTCCAGGGACCCCTCCTGCCCAGCAAGGTGGGGGGCTTGACACGGGCTCTGTAAGACGCCCCGGCTCACCTGCAGGGCCTGGAGGTCACGCTCCAGCTGGAGCCCTGCACCTGCAGGCCTGGCCGGACGGCCCCGTCCCACCCCACCTCTGCCCCTGGAGAGACGGCCCCAGGGCTTCCTGTGAGGACCCCCCCCTTGCTCCCTGCAGGGTGAGGGGTGCCAGCCGGTCTGCAAGGCCCCTACCATGCCCTACCTGGACCCTTGGCTCGGCCACCCAGCAAACTCCTACTCATCCATCAAGGCCCCCCAGGCAGGGTGCTCTTTCATCTGCTCTCCTCGCCACCTTGTCCCTGCCCGGCCCCCAGTGCCCACGTCCATTCAGCCCCCGAGGCTGCCCCAGGGACATTTCTTCAGGACTGTGAGCCCCACGAGGCCCCTGGAAAAGGGCTGATGGCCTCCCTTTCCCCCTGCCCTGCCACCCTGGCCTCTGCCCTCCACCTGGGTCCTCCCCGTCTGGCCTCCCTCCCTGCACACCCCTCTCAAAGTGACACCCCAAATTCCCCAGCTGCAGAGGGCCCGGAGCTCTGGGGTGTCCTGACAGCTGGTGCCTGCCCTATGCAGAGCTCTGGACAGGCTGGGGGGGCCTGAGGCTTGGGGTGTGGGTGGGGCAGCCCCCGAGGGGTCCCACGCCGAGTGCCGGGCAGAGGGTCTCGCCAGTAGGCTGGGAGGGAGGGGCAGGGCCTGGGCAGGGGGCACAGGGACAGAAGAGGCAGGCACAGGGTGCCCCCAACCCGTCCTACCCCCTCGGTCTCAGGGGCGCCTCTGCAAGGTGCTATGAGGTGGGCGGAGCTGCAGGCAGGGGGCTTAGTGTTCTCCCACGCTGAATGGTCACGCTGGGGCTCCAGGTGCCTGTCCCGGGGGAGCCCAGGTGACACCCAAGGCAGGTGATGGGTGGCTGGGCGTGGCTGGAATGGGGGAGATGGGTCTGGCCTCCCTGGAAGAAGTTGGGGGTCTAGAGGACACCTGGGGTGACCCGGAGTGGCCGGTGTGCGGCAGGTGCGGGGGGTCGTGTGGCACCTGCTGCCTGTCACTGAGCACGCGGGGTGGCAGCTGAGGCCTGGCGGGGGCTGCTGTCCTGGGCGTGGTGGGGCCGTGGCAGGGGGCAGGGAGGACACGTCCCCACGCCGCCCATGGGGCAGGCCAGGCGAGGGTGCCGGGAGGGGCACAAGGACACCCCCGGGTCCCTGCAGCCCCAGGCTCTGCCGACTGCTGCAGAAAACGTCTCTGGGAGTCGGGTGGGGCCGTGCTCTCCCGGCCACCCTCGCCCCCAGCTGTGACAGGGACAGCTCTGCAGTCAGGGCGTCAGGGCCTCGTTAAGACGCTAATGACCGCGTGGCCCCAGCGAGAGGTGCTGACCACGGAGGAGATGCTCCCGGCCCCCGAAGCAGGGAAATGGTCCGGAAACTGCAGCCTCAGCGCCCCCCCCCCGGCCATCTGCCGACCCCCCCAGGCCCTAATGGGCCAGGCGGCCGGGCCGGGGGCAGGGAGGTGGGCTCGGGGCTATAAAGCCGGCAGCGCCCGGCAGCCCCCAGCCCTGCGGACCAGCTGTTTCCCCGGCCGTCAGCGAGCAGGTCTGTGCCAGGGGCCTCCGGTCCGGGCGGTGGGACCCGGGACCCCAGCTCTGCATGGTGGTGGTGGGGAGGGACGTGGGCTCCTCTCGTGGGGCATTTGGGGGAGCAAGCGGGGGTCCCGGGGCAGGGCGCCCGCCCACGCTGGCCTCAGCCCCGCTCCTCTCCCAGGTCTTTGCCCCCGCCCCGCCATGGCCCTGTGGACGCGCCTCCTGCCCCTGCTGGCCCTGCTGGCCCTGTGGGGGCCCGAGCCCGCCCCCGCCTTCGTCAACCAGCACCTGTGCGGCTCCCACCTGGTGGAGGCCCTCTACCTGGTGTGCGGCGAGCGGGGCTTCTTCTACACGCCCAAGAGCCGCCGCGAGGTGGAGGACGCCCAGGGTGAGCGCAGGCCCGCGGGGCGGAGGGGGCGGGAGGTGCCACCGAAGGAAAGGGACCTCTCTTGGCCTGCCACGTCCTGAAAGTGCCCTGTGGCCCGGCCAGAGACTCTGGGCTTCAGGACAGTGCCCGCTGCACGAGCAGGGCCCCGATGGCACCCTGAGGCCCACGTGGCCCTCCCCGCACCTGCCCTACCCAAACAAACACCCCAGCCCCCGTCCCTACCTCATAGGATGACAGCAGCTTCCAGGGGGGACTTTAGTAAATGCCCAAGGCCGGGCGTGGTGGCTCACGCCTGTAATCCTAGCTCTCTGGGAGGCCAAGGCGGGCGGATTGCTCGAGGTCAGGAGTTTGAAACCAGCCTGAGCAAGAGCGAGACCCCGTCTCTACTATAAATAGAAAGAAATTAGCTGGCCAACTAAAAATACATAGAAAAAATTAGCCGGGCGTGGTGGCGCATGCCTGTAGTCCCAGCTACTCAGGAGGCTGAGGCAGGAGGATTGCTTGAGCCCAGGAGTCTGAGGTTGCTGTGAGCTAGGCTGACGCCACGGCACTCACTCTAGCCTGGGCAACAAAGTGAGACTGTCTCAAAAAAATAAATAAATAAAAACAAGCGCCCCAGGTCCTGGGTGTGGGTGGTCTCAGGGTGACCTTGGGAAGTGGCCCCCACCCGCCCAGTGGGGCGCGGTAGCAATAGGAGGCTGGCAGTGGGGAGTCGAGGGATGGGCAACCCCCCGGGGACGGTGCCCGTGGGGGGCACCTGCCACGTTCCCGCCGCGGCACTGCCCGGGGCCGGGGACAGGTGGCAGGGTGTGTGGGCTCGGGGCACGCCTGTCCCTGCCCAGCGGCCACCCGGGGTAGGGGGCGGGCGGCTCTGTGTCCCTGACGCCCTGGCCCTGTCTCTCTCTCTCCCTCCCTGTCTGCCTGGCACCGCCCGGCCGGCAGCGGGGCAGGTGGGGCCGGACGGCGGCCTGGGCGCGGGCGGCCTGCAGGCCCTGGCGCTGGAGGGGGCCCCGCAGAAGCGCGGCATCGTGGAGCAGTGCTGCACCAGCATCTGCTCGCTGTACCAGCTGGAGAACTACTGCAACTAGCCACCCGCCCCGCCCCGCCCCGGGACGGAATAAACCTCTTGAATGGCCCCCGTGTCTGTCTTCCGTGTGTCTCCGAGCTCCGCCCCGCCGCGCCGCACCCCCCTCCCCAGCAGCCCCCCAACCCCGAGCGTACTCCATGCTCCCCGGGCGCCAGCCAGGCCCGGGTACCCCAAGGAGCGGGGTGCCTGCCACTGCCCCCCCCCGGGGCTCTGGGGGGCGTGGGCGAGCTGAGATGCCGGGGGGCTCTTGGGGAGCTGACTTCCCCGTTCAGAAGCCCTGGACCCTCAGGGTCCCCAGAGAATTTTCGAGGAAAGAGAATGAGAACATTCCAGTGGCTTCTTCCCACCTACCCCTCCCAGGCCCTATTTTTAGAGCTGCTTCTGTTGGCGTCCCCGTGCAGGGGGGAGGCTGGGCTGGCGGAGGGGTCCTGCAGGGGTAGGTGGGGCCGGGAAGGGGCTGTGAGGCTGCTGAGGCTGGGTCTCCCTCAGCGCCTGCTGTCCCCAGCTCCGGGGGGCCGGTGGGGTCAGTCACAGCCCCCAGCCCAGACCGGCCAGACCCGGTCAACAGAGACCCTGGTGCTCTGGAGGAAGCAGGACAGGCCGGATGACTCCCCACGAGCCGGGCAGCGGGAGGGATGGCCGGCCGTGGGCGGGCCCCGGACCCCACTCCCCGCACTGGCCGCGAGGCCCTGGGAACAGCAGCCCCCGCAGGCTAGGGACCGCCAGGGCCACAAGGCCAGGGACCGCCAGGGCCACAAGGCCAGGCACCCGGGCCAGGGTCTCCCGGCCACCCCTCCATCCCATAGGCAGGGCCACTCAGCCAGATCCCTTCAGCCACAGCCCTGGTGGTGACGCCCACAAGTGCCCAAAGGCCCTGGTGGCAAGGTCACCCTGGGTGCAGGTCTTGGGTTCCCCGGGGGGCCGTCTCTGCAGCACCCCTGAGCACAGGAGGTTCCGCTGGGCACCGAGATTAGAGAGCAGACTGGAGCCCGGGGCCACCTGGCCTGACTGACCGAGGCCTGGGAGGTCAGCAGGTGACCCTGGCTGCCACGAGGTCTGGCCGGACTGCCTGGCACCCAGGCCGAGCCAATCTGCACCTTCCCTGAAAGCTCCGCCTGGGCCAGGGCCTGGGGCGGCCGGGCCTGGGGCTGGCACCGGGCAGCCTCCTTCCTGCAGCCCGAGGTCGCCCCCTGCCCTGGACAGCAGTGACACCCCCCCAGGGATGGTGCAGGCCCCGCCCCTGGAGTGGGGGCCAAGGCTGGGCCGGCGGGTGGACGGCCGGACACTGGACCCGGAAGAGGAGGGAGGAGGTGCCTGGGGCCAGCAGCCGTCCGTCCGCAG